TGTTGTGCCTTATTTCCAACACAAGGATTCTTGGATCTTATGTTCATACAGAAAGGCAAAAAGCGAAAGAAGGACCACGTTGATGTCATCAGGGAACGGAAGAGAAAACTTAAAGAATCTAACAAATAAGCGGGCTAAGGCAGTCGAGAAAACTGCGGTGTTGTTATTGACATGCTGTTTTCGGAGCTCAATGGTCTGGAGAGTGTTGATGCCACCGTGGAAATTTTGGTGTTTGATTTTGCTAATGACCGAGTGACTTTCTGTAATCTTTAGTTATGTTTGAACTTTGAACTTTGAAGCTGTTGTCAGAGCATATTATCAATACAAACAGCTTACAATTAACTCTAATTCACCTAAGTTTTCACAAATTTATTTATGCCGTCTCTTTTTTAGTGAATTTTCTTACCAAGGATTGGTACTGTTAAGATATAATTTAACAAAGCCAAATATTGCTCTCTTGAGTCGAATTATCTCGGTATTTGAGTAGAGTTGGGAGGGGGGAGAAGGACCATTTTTCACATTTTTTTATTGGGATGCATTAGTTAGGCAACGTGGCAGCATCTAACGGTGGTCCTCATCCCTTGGGATGGCGATGACGGCGTAAGGGGCGTACTTCTTTAGAGGCGATACTGCCGTTAACTATATAAACAGCACCCCCAAATGAAATTAACTTCATTTCTTTGCGATCGCTGTCAAAATATCTCTCGATAATTCTTTCACCAAGAAACATGTACGCCCAAACAAGAACTCTCATCCTTCTCTTCTCATTGGCATCCGTATGGTTGATCGGCTTACCACCTTCCACCGCCGCCCCTGCAACCCCCACTGTAACTAACGCTGCCCCTGCAACCCCCACTGTACCCACCGCCCCTGAAACCCCCATTCTCCCCAACTCCTGCCCACCTCCGCAAACCCCCATTCTCCCTACCTCCGCCGCTGAAACCCCCATTCTCCCTACCTCCGCCCCTGCAACTCCCACTCTCCCTACCTCCGCTCCTGAAACCCCCATTCTCCCTAACTCCGCCCCTGCAACCCCCACTCTCCCTACCTCCGCCCCTGAAACCCCCATTCTCCCCAACTCCACCCATGCAACCCCCATTCTCCCTACCTCCGCCCCTGAAACCCCCATTCTCCCTACCTCTGCCCCTGCCCCCACTCTCCCTACCGCCACCCCTGCCTCCCCTACCATCGTAAGCGCCCCTACCTGCCGTACTACCTTCACTAAAGGAAATGACGACGGCTGGCCAGAAGAAGATGACGAGCTTCCGGTGAGTAGCTGGCCGAAGGATGTTCCATGGCCAGACAACTGGACCCCTCGTGCGGAAGATTGCGCCAACGCCCCCAACCCAAGAAACCCAAGAAACGCTAGTAGTAACAATCTTGGCCGCAGCCACTGCCACCGCCCGAACTTGCAGGTGCTTGCTGCATTGGCAGCGTGGACTGTCGTCATTGCTGTTGCTTTGGCATTCTTGATCCGCTGCATGACTGCATATCCAAGATAGTTGTATAAGTGTATGGACACGTGGCACTTGTATGTTGATGGACCCATGTGTCACCATCTTAGTGGTTGAGGTATAGACCATGTGTCACCATATTAGTGGTTGACCTGATAGTTAGTTAGCTACAGTTGTAAGATTCCAATGTAGCATATAACTCTGATTAGCTCGTATGGAATATGGATACAAACAGAAATTATTTCTCTCTATAAGTCTAAATTTTTATTTATTGTTTCATTTTAATTCTTTTTCTGTTTGTTTATAATATACCAGATAAAAGTCGTGTGGGTTTAAATATTTAATTATTTTAAAAAATTGGTATTAAAATTTAAAAGAAGAAAAAGTAAAAAGTAGGGAATAGAAGAAAGAGGACAAATTTATGTTACATGTCGGTAAGGAAAGGAAAAACAGCAAAAACTTATCATGCAAAATTACTTTAATGTTCATATATTATTATTTTTTAAATGTTTTTCTTATGTATAAAATTAAAAAATTAGTCATATTTTTCAAGAAATAATAACAATATGAATTATTTATCACGTGTCAAAATTTAATAAAATATTATCAACAAATTTTATAAAATTTTATTAATAAGAAATATTGTTTCTTAAAGATAATGAATTTCTAGAAACAATGGTCATTATTTCTAAAAATGGTGTCACTATTTTTAAAAATAGTAGTCACAATTTCTAGAAACAGTGGTCATCATTCTGCTTAACTGTCCCTGATTTTCAGAGGCTCTCGCTAAAAACCCTCTAACGAGGAATGTAGTCGAGGCAAGTCCCTCCTAATCCCACTAAAACTAGCCATGGTAACTAACAAACATGAAATTATAGTGACCTACATTCAAAACATCCCTTCATTGCCAAAACTCTTCATTGTATTTTTCAAATTACAAATATCTTGTAACAAAAGTAGAAAGTTACTTTTGTACTTTTATTCCTTATCATTATAGATTATTTTTAGTTTAATTTTAAAGTTTTGAAACATTTTTTATTAGCTTTTTTTTTTAAATTAAACAAAATATAAACACGTTAATAATCCAATTATCTATAACGACATTATTTAGTTTACAAAATTTAGTTTAAAATTTGTTGTCCCTCCCTAGCATTATCCATAATTTATTAATTCTCTCTATCTTTCGTGTGTTTCTAGTTCCATTAGGTTTAGGTTACCGGATACAAAACTGTAGTTCTATTAGGTTTAGGATACCGAATACAAATTTAATTTGGAGAATTTCTTCCTCAGTTATATATGGGAAGAGACATCGATCATTAATTTGTACAAATATTCTCAATTCAAATCAGTCGACATTCGTACGAAATCCTCCGTCGACCGCCGCAAGGATGCCGATCAGAAAAGTTTCTCCGGAGACAAGGAAGAAGCTGACTCAACTTGTTTTTGCAATTTTTCAGGTGACATTCACTTACTACCGCCTATCAATAAAGCTGTTTTCCCTCCCCCTCCATTTCATTCTCCACAAGCTCGCAAGTACAACGATCAGGATAAAAACAACATCCCCACTGATAAATATTCGGACAAGTAGGTGGTCCGATGAACTGACCGTAGAAATCATGCAACTAATTCTACGGCGGTTATGCGTATCGGACCACCTAAGGTGCGGTGCAGTATGCCGTTCTTGGCGAGCGGCCGTTTGTGCCACCAAACCTAAGGGTTGCCCTCAACTTCCGTGGCTCATGCTCCGTTCTCACCCTTTCTCCCTCAAAGAACACCGCTTTCTGAGTCTTGGAGACCAAAAAACTTACAAGTCTTCATCTATCAACCCTAATGATTATATAAGCAGGAGGGATTGTGTTGGTTCAGTTGAGGGGTGGTTGATCATGATCGACAGCGAGTTTTGGCGTCCCGAGGGTTTTTTGTATCCTTGGTCATTTGGCTTGCACTTGCTAGATTACAACCTCAAGTATCCATACGCGACTGTCAACTTCTTCTTGAATCCAGTGTCGGGTGCCCGAGTCATGCTCCCATCACAATCTACGGTTCGATATGGTTACAGCAGCAGACCTTTCTTCTTCACAAAAGTAGTGGCCTCATCAGTGCCAATAACGACATCGTCTCCAGGTCATCATCGTCAGCTAAACCCATCGTGTTTTGTCGCTGGCCTTTCCGCAGGAGGTCGTTATTTGGCCTTTTGTAGACCAACTGATAAATTCTGGACACGCATTGATCCGATGCCGGACGCTAGACGTTTAAGGATTCAGGATATAGAAATAATTGATGGGAGATTGTTTGTTTCAATTCGGGATTTATCGGAGTTAATCGTTTATGACCTCGAAACATTACATGTTGACAATCATGCCAATGCCGGTCCTTGTGGTAGTATTTACAGGAGACCGCCTAAAATGTTGGTTATGCTTCATCGCAATCCAGTTCCTTCCTTGAACTGTACAAATACCATGGCTGGAGTCGTGCACTATCACGAATGTGAAAACGTTTACTTAGCAAAAGATCCGACGTCAAAGGATTTGTTTATGATTCTCCATAATGTTCGTCTTGCTTATGAAAAAGAACCAATAATTCCTTCGTCCTGCCTAGGTTGTAATTACGTCATTCCACCTCAAACTCTAGGATTTCGGGTGTTCAAGCTCGAGTGTAACAACAGTGGTTCTCGGTGGAAAAAGGTTGACGACCTTGGTGATCGGATATTGTTTATGAGCGAGGCAAGCAACAAAGTAATCTCTGCTAGTAGCCTGACTAGTCCCCATTACAAGACAGAATTTGAAGAAAACTGCATCTATTTTGCTTTTGATAATCCCTGTCTAGCATCACCATCTACTGGGCGTGATTTCGGTATCTTTTCCTTGGCGAACAAGAGCATCAAGCATTTTACTGTTCCCGGCGAGGAACCTCGTACTGGTCTATTCCACTCTAAAACTGTATGGTTCACACCAAATTTTCAGCAACTTGATTAAGTAGGAGCCAGAAAGAAGTAGCCTACTTGTAGTTGATGGCTAATCATGAGTCTTGGTTCATTCTTTCCGCTTTGTGTGGGTAAAGAGGGTAAGGTTTCTACTATTGTAGTTCGACAACCAAGCCTTGTGCGTTGCTTGACTAGCCTAATCCATTATCATCATTTCAAGTTTTTGGATCTTCTTGAATTTTTGTGGTTTAAATACTTGAATATTTTCACTCGTTTATTTCATTCAGTAGATTATATTGAATACTACATTAATATTCTCATGATCTTAATGCATTATTTCTGGATCATTGTTAGAGAGTTCGTTGAGTTCGTCTTTGCTCATGCCATCTTATTGCCTATTGGTAGCCATGAATATGGCATGCTGAAGAAGGACAGATTTTTCAATGTGCCGGAATACTACCTGGTACACCAAGAGTAATACTACAATTGGTTGGCAACTTGAAAAAAAAAATCGGTAGATAGCATCTATTGGACGGATAACATTACTGAGACTCTGTGTCCTCAATGCAAGAGAGGATCACCTTTCCAAACCCTAATACTTGCGACTCCACCAGCAAATATTATTGCCACTCGAAACAGAGCCATCACACTCAAATTTAGGATTGGTACATGAAAATTGTGACTAAATATTCAAAAATCTCACTTTTCACTCAAAAAATCGAAGTGAGAAACATATACAATTGACCTTTACTGTACACAAATTACAAATTTACAGTCCTGCAATCATTTAGCTCACTCTTCACACATCAACGAATATTAACTCAAGCTGCACAATCACACACATCACACTCAAATCTCTTCAATATTATCGATAACAATCGGAACTTGGAAGCACACCCACAAAATTCGTTAAAGCACCCAATTCTTCAACTGCTGGAACCTATCCGGATTCTTGCATTTTTTTTTCATTCATTTTTCTGAATGCGTCTTTGGATGAGAAGACTTACCAATGATGGCTTTCTTCACCTTGGACATCGAATGCTTGATACCCGAAAGAATGTTATTAGATTTCTTATGTGAAACAACCTTCACATTGACATCAGCATCTCTTGAGGCTTCTACCATGATGGGGGACTCATATCCTGCCTCTAGGTTTTTGTGTTCGTTTTCTCCTTTCTCTTCATCCGTTTTCACTTGTTCAGAATTTTCGTGCTCTTCTTCTTCGTCTTCCTCTGTTTTCAGTTCTTTGCAAGCTGTTGCTGTTTCTTTTGTTGATTCAGGCACAAGGTTAGGTAACGAAACTGTCCCTGATTCAATCGATATTACTTTTCCACTTTCATTTGATTCAATCCCTTGTGAAGTTTCAACAATAGGAGCCTTACAGCTGACCTCAGTGCTTGAATCCTGCTTGTGAGATGAATGGTTAAGCTTCTAAATCGATTTTTTCCGTCAACAATATAAAAATTCTTAAAGGAAGAAGATTGAAATTTCTGTTAGAAAGATAAAGGAATGTTTATTTCTTGTAGATAACTAAGCAGAATTTTTGTGTGCAATAAATAGCTTGAGTGGCAAGAAAGAAGTGAGGGTCTCATGCAATCTGACCTTTTCCCTTTGGGTTGATGCTATGCTGCTCTTAGAGTTTATTTCATCTCCCTGATTTTTAAGACCAAATTCAAAATCTGCCTCCTCAACTCTCTTCTCTTCTTCTGGAAAGCCGTCATGTGTTGTCTTATCCTCGATAAAGCGTGGGTCATTCTCCTTGATACTAAGGCCTTCAAATGTAAGCTGTCTTTCATACTTGTAACTAGCAATTCCCTTTTCATCTACCTCAGACAACTGGATTATAGGATTAAAAATTCAAAATTATAAGTAATGAGAATTTATGTTAGAACGATAATTAGGAACGTTTGTTTTCTATTCACTGACCTCGTTCTGATGTTCATTTGTTTTGATCGTAGATGTTTCATCAATCTGCTCTCCTTGTTTTTCAGCTTTTGCTTTGTTTTCATCATGGCTCTCTTCTCTGACATAATATGGCTCCGACTCTTCTGGAAGTTTCTCATCCTCCTTGATCTGTTAATTTACCCCTAGTTAATACTTTTGCTTTAACATATAGATAACTGCAGGAAAATAAATGCACGATGAATGAGTCCATATGTATATATTACCTCTTCATTTGAACTTTTCCCTGGTACCTCTGCTTTAAGTTGAAGCTCAAAATCAGAAGCTTTGAGTTGCCTCGGCTCTTCCTTTAACAAGCTTGTAGCTTTTACGTTCTCATCAACTTGCATTTGCAAATTGCTTGCGTTTTCTTCTATATTCTTGTCACAGAAAGTAGTTCTATGCTCTTCAGAAGCTTTGATCTCCTTTTCTTCAGGAAGCATTATAGAAGATGGTATTTGAAGTTTCTCTGTTGATATTCCTTCATGGAGTGTCTGATCAGAAATGGCCTCATCTCTCGAAACCACGTCAGTGCTTGGAGAATCAGGTTCAGATACTGTTTCAGGAGTTTTCTTGATTTCTTCTTCAGTTTCGCCAGCATTCAGCTCTTCCGGAGCCAATTCAGACACTTTGAGCTCCCCGGGCTCTTCCTTTTTCAAGATTGTCTCTTCGACTGACCTTGCAGAAATTAAATCTCCCCCATTTTCAGCAGCTGGCACTTCACTTTCACCTGCCTTGTACTCCTTTTCCTCGGGAAGTGAAGTGTAAGATGCCTCAACAAGAGTTTGATCAGCAACAATATTATCTTTGGAAACTGTATCAATGCTTTGAGAATCAGATTTAGAGATCGTTTCCAAAGTTTCTTTGATTTCTTCTTCAGTTTCACCAGCATCTAGCTTTTCCGGAGCCAACCCACAAGCTTTAAACTCTCTAGGCTCTTCCATTTGCAAACGTGTCTCTTCTTCAGAAGTTGCAGCAAAAAATATACCGCTAGTGTTTCCATCTGGAACTTCATTTTTCTCTGTGCTCTCATCTTCTTTATTCTTGTCTTGGGTTGTAGCTTCATGCACACATTGAGAAATTTTCATCTCCGTCGTCTCATCTCCCGAAACAACTTCAGCGCTTTGAGAATCAGATTTGGACACCTTTTCAAAAGGTTCTTTGGTTTCTTCCGTTTCACCAGCATCCAGATTTTTTGGAGCCAATTCAGAAACTTTGAGCTCCCTGGGCTCTTCCTTTTGCAACAGTGTCTCTTCTGCCAACGTTGCAGCAACTAAATCTCTGCCATTTTCATCAGCTGGCACTTCTGCTTCCTTGGCATACTCCTCCTCTATACTTTTGTCTTGGGTTTTAGTTTCACGATCGTCTTGATAAGTTCTGAGCTCCTCTTCCTTGGGAATCAAAGCATAAGATTCCTCAAAGTGTGTTTGATCAGCAACAATTTCATCTTTCGAAACTGGATCAGTGCTTTGAGAATCGGGTATAGAGATTGTCTTAAAAGTTTCTTTGAATTCTTTTTCTGTATCACCTGCATCCAGCTTTTCCAGAGCCAACTCAGAAGCTTTGAGCTCTTCGGACTCTTCCTTTTGCAACGGTGTCTTGTCTTCTGACCTCACAGCAAATAAATCTCCCACGTTTCCATCAGCTGGCACTTCCTTTTCGGGCTCTTCTTGTATGTTCTTGTCTTTGGTTGGAGTTCCATGCTCATGTTGAGAAGCTTCGATCTCCTTTTCCTCGGTAAGCAATGTACAAGATGGTATTTCAACTTGCTTTTGTAATATCCCTTTGTCGAGTGTCTGACTAGTAATGATCTCATCTTTCGAAACTACATCAATGCTCCGAGAATCACATTCAGGAACTATTTCAGAAGCTTCTTTGAATTCTTCTTCAGTAGCATCAACATCTAGCTTTTCTGGAGACAATTCAGAAACCTCTGCATGCCCTTCCTTCTGCAAGCTTGTCTCTTCTGTTGTCTTTTCAGCAAAAGAAGCTTTATCTTCCAAGTTGCAAACCTCTTTCGCATCTGCTACATCACTAATTTTGACCGGTACCTTCTCTTCTTCCGGTTCATATTTCTCTGAAGCCTCTGCTGAATCTTCTTCTTCTTTTGATGTTACCACTGGACTTGACTCAGTAACTGTGACTGCACCATTTCTGTCATCGACTTCACTAACATCCTCCTCCTTTGAAGCTTTTGCTGAATCTTGACTGCTACCTTCTCCCGGTTGACCTTCTTCATACTTCACTGGTGAAGCATCCAAAATTTCTTCAGATGTTTCAACGATCTGATTTGTTTCATATGTGGTGCTCTCACCTACTCCATCAATCTCTGGCTCTTTAAGTATCTGTACAAAAAAATAAGTTTATATTCAAAATGGACAAACAATAATCTCCCTAGAGACAAATTAAGCTTTATAAGCTGACCTCTCCTTCGAACTTCACTGTATCCTGTTTGTTATCATCGAACTTTTTGCTTCCATCTTCCGGAGTAAACTCTCGTGACAAGTCAGTAGTATTGTATGCTTTTACGCTCTCGATACCACTGCCCTCTTTCTGTAAATTTTCTGTCTCTTTGTCACTGTCTTGAGAGTTCTTAGCAGTTTCTTCTTGAATTATTTCTGGTGCACAAATTGCGGCATTGCCTTCTGTGGTTTGTCCTTCACTGAAATCTCCGTCAGCGCTATTTGGCTCATCCAGGACCTGCTCTAGCAGTTGAGGCTTCACAAAGAAAAGGAAAAGTTAGAGAATACGAATTTAGCGTTTCTATATAAGTGTGCATGGTTGTCACATGCTTATGGTCATCATATTGTATATTACATACCTCTTCAACTATCATGTTCTTATTCTTGGGATGGTCTTCTGATTCACGACTCTCATCTTCAACCCTCAATTTTGGTTCTGCTTCCTCAAGGCGTCGCACTTGAAGGCTTTCCTCTGCAGCCTTATCTCCCGCCAGCTCAGTGTTGCATTCGCCTCCATCTGCTACTCTTGGAATCTGGTTCTCTGGAAACACTTCTGAGTTAACATTTTCCAAGGCGGCTCCATCTGTTAAGATGGTTGTTAGACCCTTCTCTTCATGATCAATTTCAATATCCTTGACCTGCTCTTTGGTTTCTGCTTCAGCTCCCTCCAAATCTGTACAGACATCTTTCTCAGAAACCTCAGACTGCAGCGAATTAACTACTTTACTGCTTTCTTCTGTGTGGGTTTCTTCCTCTGAAATATGAGCATACAGGTCCTCCTTTGGCTCTATACTGTCCTCTAACGTTTCAAATTTTGTTTCGTGTGTCGTATTTGCTCCCTCAACCGGCTCTTTACATTCCACATTCACTTCATTTTCCTAGTATAATGTGTAAATCGACAATCGTAAAGTTATGATATAATCGAACAATCTAATAAACTGATTTCTATATTGTATGCAAGCTGACCTCTTCTTTCAGACTCGAAATATAGTTTTCTTCTTGCTTTGAGCTTTCGTTACTTGTATCGTCTCCTACCAGCGAAGAAGAGAGTTCTCTACTGGCCTGTTCATCTGAGTTATTTCCAACAAAATCTGTGCTCGAATCTGCTGCTTCAGATGACACCTAAATGGAAAAAAAGAGTTTCACAATTGGAGAATACTAAAATAGTGATCATGTATTTCAGTACACTTTTCTTTTTCGTGTTCAAGTGAACCTGATGTTCGTTCAAATTTTCTACAGTCGTTTCTTTATCATGGAACTCTTGAGAGTTGTCCTCAACTGTATGAATTTCCCGTGTTGCATGTTCTCCTGTTTCTTGTTCCATACTTGCTATCTCAAACACCTATATCAGAGATGAAAGGATTATAAACTGTGACATAAGTTCCAAAAATAAAAGGTCGTAACTTGTTTATGCTAATCTTACCTCCTCTACTTCAGTTTCATTTTCTTTTGTATCATTCATGGGTGTTGTCTCTTCCTCTTTTGTGCAGGTAACTACTTCGGCCTTTTTGCTCGATGATTCTGTCTTACTTTCTTCAGGCATCTCATCCAGCAATTTTTCATGGCCCTCTACTGGTTCATATTCCTGCACGGCCTGTGGTAAACCTTCTTTACCATTTACGTTTGCACTTGTTTCTGTGACTGTGACTGCACCATTATCGCCATTGCCCTCTTCAGCCACCTTGATAGAAAACGTGTCCTCATTGCTACCCTCCTCCTTTGAAGCCGGACTGCTACTTTCTCCCTGCTCGTCTTCTTCATATTTCACCGGTGAAGTACTAACAATTTCTTCAGACCTTTCAGCAATTGTAGTTGTCTCACATGTGATGCTCTCATCTACTCCAGTTTGTGGCTCTTTAAGAATCTGCACAAATATAACTTATATTTTATATTTGGACATACACATACAACAAGAAAATTCCTGTAGGGACAAAGTGTGCCTTGTAAGCTGACCTCTCCTCCGGACTTCACTGCATCCTTTTCGTCATCTTTGAACGTTTCACTTTCATCTTCTCGAATGTACTCACCATTGCCTTCTTTTAAGCTCTCTATACAGCTTCCCTCTTCCTTTAATTTTTTCTTCTCATTTTCGTTTTCTTGATATTTGTTAACTGTATCCTCTTCAATTGATTCTTGTGCAAAACATGCTACATTACCTTCTACGATTTCTTCTTTGTTGAAATCTCGGCCTGTGATCTTTGGCTCATCAAAGGCCTGTAGACATTGAATTTTCATAAAGATTAAGGAGAGATATAGAAATATGTTATTTAGTGTTTGTTTATAATTCTGTGTGTTCATATCAGATGGATACATTCATTCACATTTTCTATTGTGTACCTCTTCAACTATCGTGTTAGTCTTTTCAGGTTGATCTTCTGACTTGCAACTCTCCTCTTCGACTCCCACTTCCGGTTCTGCTTCTTCAAGAATTTGCACTCCAGGTGTGTCATTCAAAACTACATTTCCATGTGCTATCTTCCTTTCACCTTCATCCACTGCTGTTGGAATCTGCTCGTCTGAGAACTCTTTTGTGTCGGAATTTGCCTCTCCTGTTAAGATGGTTGCTAGACCCTTGTCTTCAGGAGCAATATCACTATATTTTATCTGCTCCTTGTTTTCTACTTCGGCTTCCTTCAAGAATGTTTCATCTTCATCAGTTGGGATTGGATTTTTCTCCTTGAACTTCTCTTTTGATTCGAAACTTTCCTCCGCTTGCACACCAGTATCTTCTGCTTCCAAGGGTGTCTCATCTGTTAAGATGGCTGCTAGACCCTTATCTTCAGGAACAATATCAGCATATGCGACCTGCTCCTTAATTTCTGCTTCAGCTTCTTTCAAGCTTGTTTCGCCTTCATCTGCTATTGGTGGAATCTGCTTATCTATGTCCTCTTCTGAATTGACAGTTTTCTCCGCTTGTACATCAACATCTTCATGAGCAATATCAGCATTTTTTATCTGCTCCTTGTTTTCTGCTTCGGCTTCTTTCAAGAATATTTCACCTTCATCTGCAGCTATAGGAAATTGTTCCTCCAAGTTCTCTTTTGACTCAAAATTCTTCTTTAATTGTACATCAATATCTTCAACTTCCAAGGTCGTTTCATTTGCTAAGATAGTTGCTCGACCCCTCTCTTCAGGAACAGTATCCATGTCTTTGTCCTGCATTTCGATCTTTGTTTCAGATTCCTTCAAAATTGTTACATGACTCAGTTCTCCGGACACAGATTCAGAATTGCTAGGTGTGGTGCCATCTTTCTCCTGAATGTTTTTCTCAATCCCAGCCGCATATTCCTCAGTGGCCTCATTACATGTTGCATGCCCTTCCTTTTCCTGTTGTCAATATGAATTGTAAATTTGAATTTTCAAGATAATACTACGATGCACTAATCTAAAATTTTGATATCGTATGCTAGATTACCTCTTCTTCTAGAAGCGTGGTAAGCGTGGTGTAGGTTTCTTCTTCCTTCGGGATTTCATTAGTTGCTTCTTCTACTACCAGCGGAGAAGAGAGTTCCTGAATGGCATGTTCCTCTAAGTTCTTTTCCTCTGCAGTTGTACTCAAATCAGCCGCATCAGTACATGCCTAACATTGGAAGGAAAAGAAAAACACAAAGGTTATGTACTTGGAGACGAAGAAAAAAGGACACCACTTTTGTAGGCTTTATGTTTGTGTCCAGGTAAACCTGATGTTCCGCGGAGTTCTCTTCATTTGTTTCTTTATCAATGGAATCTTGAGGGGGTTTTGCGACAGTATGAATTTCGTACACCACATGTTCTCCAGTTTCTTGCTCCGTACTGGTAGTCTCAAGCACCTACATTAAAGATGAAACCGTCATGATGTATAAGGAGAAAATAGACCGTTTGTGCCATTTAAAATAAAACATCATTTTTTCGCATGTTCATATCTATCAGTGATACGTTATGAATCCTGCATCTCGACCAATAACAAAACTGTGTAGGGAGAACTTGTCAGATGATAAGACAGTATGAAAAACTCATAAAAAGTTTATTCCGATCTTAGCTTCTCCCTTACAGTGTCATCTTCTTTTGTGTGTGTAATTTCAGTCACTTCTTCCTTTTCTTTGTCTGAGGATTCTTGTGAATTTAAATTTTCCTCGTCGATCTGCTCCTTGTTTTCTGCTTCGGCTTCCTTCAAGAATTTTTCACCTTCATCTGCTGCTGTTGGAATCTGCTCCTCCACATTCTCTTTTGATTTGAAACTTTCCTCTGATTTTACACCTATATCTTCAACGACCAAGGGTATCTCAGCTGTTGAGATGGTTTCTAGACCCTTCTCTTCAGGAACAATATCAATACTTTTCACCTGCGCCTTAATTTCTTCTTTGGTTTCTTCCGAGCCTGTTTCTAGTTCATCTGAGGTTGTTAGAATCGGGTACTCCAAATTCATTTGTGTAATGAAATTTTCCTCTGCTTGTACATCAATATCTTCAAGAGAAATATAAGTAAGTTTTTCTTCATCTGCTGCTATTGGAATCTGCTCCTCCACGTTCTCTTTTGATTCAGCATAGTCCTTTGCTTTTACCTCAACATCTTCGACGTCCAAGGATGTTGCATCTGTTAAGATGGTTTCCGGACCCTTCTCTTCCGGAACAATATCCGTACTTTTGCCCTGCTCCTCCTTTTCTGCTTTGGCTTCTTTCAAGCTTGTTTCACAGTCGCCTGTTGGAATCTGCTTGTCCAAGTTCTCCTCAGAATTGACAACTTCCTTCCCTTGTCCACCAACATCTTCATGAGAACCATCAGTATATTTTATCACATCCTTGCTTTCTGCTTCGGCTTCCTTCAGGAATGTTTCTCCTTCATCTGCTTGTATTGGGATTTGCTCCTCCAAGTTCTCTATTGGTTTGACATTTTTCTCTGCTTGCACGTCGGTATCTTCCAAGGGTGTCTCATCTGTTAAGATGTTTGCTCCCTTCTCTTCAGCAGCAATATCACTATATTTTATCTGCTCCTCCTTTTCTGCCTCGGCTTCCTTCGATAATGTTTCACCCTCATCTGCTGCTGTTGGAATATGCTCCTCCAACTTCTCTTTTGATTCACAATTTTCCTCTGCTTGTACACCAATATCTTCAACTTCCGAGGCCGTTTCATCTTTTAAGATGGTTGCTTGAGCCTTCTCTTCCGGAGCAGTATCAATGTTTTCTTTCTGTTCCTCATTTTCTGTTTCACCTTCCTTCAAACCTGTTACATGATTCACTTCACCTGACACGGAGTCAAAATTGCTAACCGCGAGGCCATCTTTCTCCTGAATATTTTTCTCAGTCTCCGTCTCAGATACCTCAGCGAGAGAGGAAATATTTTCAACAAATGTGTTGTTGATTTCTTCTGAAATTGGAGCATTGAGGTCCTTGTTTGGCTCTGTTATGTCCTCTGTGGTTTCAGGTAGTGCTTCACGTGTCATACTCTTTACCTCAGCGGGCTCGTTACATTCTGCATCTTCTTCCTTTTTCTGCAGAGGATACCAATTGTTGATTGAAATTGGTAATAGAATACTATAATGTAACAATCGAAAATTCTGATATCATGCTAACCTCTTCTTTTAGAATCAAGACATCGGTTTCTTCGTCCTTTGGGATTTCCTTAGCTGTTTCTTCTACTACGAACGGAGCAGAGAGTTCCGGAATGGCCTAAAATTTGAATCAAACGAAAGGTCATATACTTGGAGATGAAGAAATAGGATAGCACTTTCGGTAGGGTTTATATTTGTGTTCAAGTAAACCTGATATTCCGTGGAGGTTTCTTCATTTGTTTCTTTATCAACGAAATCTTGAGGTGGTTCTGCGAGCGTATGAATTTCCCTAACCACGTGTTCTCCAGTTTCTTGTTCTGTACCGGCAGTCTCAAGCACCTGCATTAGCGATGAAACCATCATAAACCAGACATAAAAACTCATAAAAAGCGTTAACTCCAATCTTACCTTGTCCCTTGCATTGTCATCGTCTAAATTGTTTGTGTTTTCAGTCGCTTCTTTCTTTTCTTCGTCCAAGGATTCTTGCGTGTTCTGAGTTGTTGTTTCCTCTTTCGTGCAGGTAATTTCTTCTGCATTTTCCCAGGGTGTTTCTGTCTTAGTTTCCTCAGGCATCACATCCCGCAAATGTTGAAGCTCCTCTCCTGAATCACATTCCTGCAAGGTCTGTGGTGAACTTTCTTCATCATTTGGTGTTACTGTCGCCCTCGTTTCTGTAATCGTGACTGGACTAGTATAGTCATCATCTTCAGCCGCTTTGGCGGTAAATGTTTCTACATCTTTGTCATCCTTAGTTGGGTTGGTACGATCTCCCTGATCATCTTCATCACATTTCACGGTTGAAACATTAAGAACTTCTTCGGATCTTTCAACATTTTCATTTGGCTCCGATATGGTGCTCTCACTTACTTCAGCACTCTCAGACTCTGTAACAGTTCGCATCAAGATACTTGCCGCCGGGAGATTCTGCAACAACAATAGAACACGAACCAAGTCTTTTGATAAAATAATCCTATAAAAAACGGTTCAGAGATATATTTTCAATTGAATTACACAACCAAGAAATTGAAAACTTTTCCCAACACTTTCTAGTTAAAATCAAAAGGGTTTGAGTAAGTATTTTACTAACCTGTTCATCAGGAGTTTCATCTTCAATGGTGTCAGAACTAGTAATTGCTTTCTCTGCCTTCCCCTCTTCCTCACGGTTTTGTTCTACGTTTACAACTTGTCTCTCATCTTCAGCAGTGATGATTGTTTCTGAACTTTCTCTTGAAGTTGCTGCTTCGTCCTCCACAGAATTTAAATTTGATCTAGCAAGCAGAAAATCCTTTAAGTTAGTCTCGCCTTCTTCTTCGCGATCTGTTGAATTTGTTTTGATGTGCTCTACAGCAGAAAATCCTTCGCTATCTTCCTCCTTCGCCACTGAATCCTCTCCTGTATCCAGTGCCTCACCTTTTTTCAGTGTATCTTCCTCGTGTTTCACGCACGGAATTTCAACCTGGCATTCTGCATTTTCATCCTCCTTAACTGCTTCACTTGCAGTGCCACTTGCTTCGGGAGTTTCCTCAACGGTTTCATATTGGTTCTTAACTTCTTTTGGACTCTCCTCAATGATATCTTCTGTTTGTGTGGCTAATGGAGTATCTAGGATGTTCTTCTCTTGGATTTCCTTTCCAAGTCCAGCTCTTTCTTCGTGGTCATCTAACACGGATGCACTTTCAAGCTTGTCCTCAGTGCTTTCTTTAGCTTCCGAGGTTACTTCGGGACCCTTTTCCTCATAAACCATGGCAAAGGACTTCTCCGTTGGAATTTCATCCCCGGAATCCTGGTGATCCGAGATTACTTGAACATGTTCATCAAGGTTTATCTTACTTCTCGATGTTTCCACTGCTTCAGCATTTACAATGCCATTACTCTCAAGTTGTTCAGACTTTTTCTCCGTTGCCTCCACGGCTTCCTTTTCTTCACTTCCTTTTTCTCCATTTTCCCTATCTGCAATCCCTGTTTCTGCTTGGTTTGATTCATCAACTTGGAAACTCTCCGCTACGCAGGTCTCTTGTTTGCCAACCTTTGGATCTGAGAGTGGTTCCAAGGGATTTCCGCACTCTGAGATTCCGTTCTTACTTTCAACGTACGCAATGTCACCCTCTACAAAGCATTTCACGGGTTCAGGATGTTGATCCTCCTGGCCTTCGGATTTTTTCAACTGTAATGGGGAACATTGGTCGACAGTTATGTCAAACTTCCCCGTCGACACATATCCGTCTCCCGCTTGTGTCTGCATTACGAAGGAATTGTTAATTTTTCATTAACTCCTATACTTTTTGTGTTTATTTTACGAAGAAGATGTTGCAAGAGATCATTCGTTGCTTAGCGAAAGGAGAAAATTTAACAGTCGTACAACGAAGAATATCAATCTAAGCATGGAATTCGAAACTATTTGCGCAGAATGTCACGTTAAACACGAAAATTAAAGCTTCTATAAATACGGATACTCCCAAGTTCGGAACTCATTGCTCATGGATAAAGAAAAACTGTTTCAAACATCAAAAAACAAAAAAACCAGAGCAAACATATAATAACATATTCTAAATTGTAACCGGACAAGTTTACAAGTTTAAGCAATAAACAAAAACCAGAGCAAACATATAATGACTATATAACACTAATCTTAACTAAGAAATAAACAAGTTTAAGCATAACCATAGTAGTTTACGTTGAAATTTTTCGCTTATCTACTTTCTATTTGGCTTGGGGTGGTCTTTGTTTTTTATCTACGTTTCTATCTGGATTTCTTGCTCAAAAAACAAACTGCTGAAACTAGTAACACAGGATCTTGACTACATAATATTTACGCACCACCGTAAGATAACACGGATCAATCTTTTGATTACCTGATTAAACTACGAAAAACCATCGTATAAGATATAATTATCCCACATACAAAGATCGATCATAATATTACATGAAGAAAAAAACACAGTATGTTAATTGACTGAGAGTGATGAAGAAACTGTACAGTGACGGATATGGATTCCGGAACATCAGCTTCCGCTGCCATCGGTATTCTTCTGGATTCTGAGTCGCATGAAGAAACTTTGTTCTGATCAGAACTTCAAAAGCCAGCTTAAAGGTTTGCAGCTTTAAGTTGAATCCGTCGTGTGGGATTTAAAGTTGAAAGTTTGATAATTAGATATCTGTACTATTCAATTGATTGGTTGGTATATAGGAAAAAAGCAGCCAAAGAAGTGACAGAATTACAACTTTATATACATATACATATATATATATATATAGGAAAATTAATGAAAATAGATTGAAAACTTTGAGTTGTAATAATAAGGACAAAATAAAGGGAAAAGTGAATAGTACCATGATTGATTTTTTAGTGTAAAAATATGATTTTTCGGTAAAGTAAACAGTATTATGAGCTTTCCGTTAAAGTACCCATTATATTATGAATGTGTTTTATTGGTGTGAGTTGGCCACTAAAGCAATGGTCCTATTGCTACTGATTGATCGATCTCCCGCATGGCCTTGTAACACTAATGCAGATTTTATAGAAGCTGTGGAAATTTATTAGGATCAATAAATTCTAAGGCTAATAAGATTGATTACAATGGTTAGTTTTGGGGCAACGAAAAAGTTGTTTCTTTAATACTGAAAAGTCGCGAGTTAAAAAACAACCGCTTTTAAGTCCGACTATAAAGAGTCTTGTTGGCTTGAGATTCGTTTTTTTTATTTTTTATAATAAGATTGATTAGGATATTTTAATCCACCAACAGATGGAAGCAGCCAGACTTCTTGACAGTTTCCTTTTTGTCTGACCACGGGTTTACCACTTTACAGCTCCCCAATCTGCGTAATACAATTTGATTTTGCAGAAAATCTTTTTTAAGGTGAATATTTATAGTTCCTGTTGCTGAAGGAAGTTGAAGTTCGATATTTCTACATGCCTTTTATTTGTGGAGACACTCAAGCTAAATATGTGAAAATGCATATTAGGTGACTTGAAACATGTGTAGAGCTTTACATCACAAAGGAAGTTGAGATTTCGATTCAAAATAAGAAGTACCTTAACTCCTCATCCTTATCTGATGCGAGACAACTCTTGACGTTCTCAGTCACTTAGTATTATTACTATTGTTGATCATTGATTTCAAAATTACTTGAGCTGCCAGTTTTAAATTACATTCATGTCTAATTGTGTCTCGTTCATGATATTTGAATTTTGAACGGACGACTTTTTTCTAACAGAGTAGAGATTGAACGTCTAACCTGATCACTGTGATGGTTTAGCTGCAGACAGCCTTCGAAAGTTTTTGCAGTGGAACTTGCACACATCAACATGGAAGATTACGTATGAAGTTACCAAATCGTCTTAAACTGAGTTATTTTAGTGAAAGAAAATATAAAAAAGCAGTTTTCCAGCAAGTGCTTATGGTTGGCTGCTTTTATAATGAGTCCAAGGACTATATTCTCTCCAAGATAACGATCGTGATTATGATATTTAAACTTAAACACTTATCTGAAAATTTATGAAAGAAATATCATATGAAGGTCCACGTTGGCAAGCCTGGAAGCCCTCTATGGCTCATAGACTTGGAGATTTGAACAATTCATTTTAAATTCTACGATCCTCATTAGTTAATTTTACAGACCAACCTTACGAATTTGGAACTCTCTCCCCCTCTCTTGAACGGTCCAAATTTCTCAGTTTGTTGGCTCTGAACTGTGAGATGCGGAGATGATCTGAATTCCAAGAAACCTTCTCATTGAATCTCAACATCCGATTGGAATACTAGTTTTGTTGTTAATTATATTGAGGGAGGTTGGTGTTATTAGGACAAAATTATTCAGTTATATCATTTGTTCCCTCAATTATTTTTTCCTTTTGTTAAATCTTTTACTTATCACTTACTAAAGTTATTAGTGAATCAGGAGAAAGTTTACAGATTGAAATTGAAATGGATGGTTGATTAAAAATTAAGCAAATGTAACGAAAACAAAAACTTCAAAAAGAAACAAAGAAACCTATTTCAATTTGAGTTTAGTTTTCACTTTGTATGTCATTCGCCACGTATATTTCTTATTTTACATTTCTCCCATCCTTCTTCATCCAACGCTCCTCGGTTGTCCTCATGTCTTTTCCGTTTATTCTCTACCAACAAATGAAAGCAAATCGTTAGCAATACTTGCATCATGCATCTTATCTCTAGGAATTTTTCAGAATTACCATAATAAGTATAAGAGTAAAACTTCAATAAAGCTGTCTGACTGTACCAATTCTTAGTTTTAATGGTAAAATCAAGTAATATCAAAATATAAAAAGCATCATACTTTTACGATAGATGACTCGTAAATGACGTGGTCTGATTGTTCTAATACAAGTTTTGCCCTTTTGGATCATAAACTGAAGAACAGGGATCCTCTTTGTGGAGATCCGTTGGAACAATCAATCTTGTCAATTCATCGTACATCGTGTGGTTATAAATCATTTTAAATTTTAAATTTAAAAAATGAATATAAATAGTACCTAACGAAAACTGACCACACGATGTATGATGAACGGACAAGATTGATTGATCCTCTGGATCTCTACAAAGAGTATCCGGAGAGGATCCTTGTTCTAAACCGAAAGAGTACCAGGCTGATGTGGATTTTTTTATTCTTGGCATGCCAAGTTGGCGCATCATCCAGCTAGATGATCTGTACTGATGACCATGTACACCGTCCAAAATCCAAATAGGTAGAATTATTGTGTCCAAATAGGTAGAATAATTGTGTCAAATTAAAATTGCTCAAGAAGTCAGATAGTATACCTAACTTTGTGTTTCGATATGAGAAAATTATCATAAAATTACAAGACAACGATCTCCATCAAAACCGACCAAATAAAAGCTTGATTGCTTTCGTTCGCCGCCCCTATGTGGATAAGCAAAAGGAAATAGCAACTTGGCTGTACTTGTTTGATTAGACTTGATAAACAGGTTGTGTTTGTCGTGTCATGTCGTTTTTGTGTCATACTTATTATTTTAATGGACATATCATTTTAAACTTATTTTAATAGGTTCTAACAAGTGATTGAATCAATTCATTATCGTGATGTGTCGTTTCATGTTGGGTTAATGAATCATGCAAAAAAATGTCATATTTAATATCTAGATTTGACAAACGATATATTGTTGGGTAACGACCCAACTCGTTAACATAGTTAACCCAAAACTTGTTATTTTCATATTATTTCATGTCGGTTTAATGGGACGTATAAGAAATTGCTAGGCATATATTCCACAAAATGAATATAAATATATATATATATATATATATATGTATATATTTATATGTCAAGAAAAAATAATGTTATTATTTTACAATTTGACCACTTCTTTCGGAAGAAACTTCCGGCCTTGCTTATGGTAGGCAGCATGCTTATACGTCCTGCTTTAAAATGCTTTGAAAATGTTTAAATGAAATAAAAAAATTCATATTACAAAACAAAAACATTACATGTTGGCTGAAATAGTTGGAAGTAAGAGATTTTACGTACAGTATATATTGTATGCATTTCACATCCAACTGTAGTTTTTATTTCTCTACTCAAAGTGAAAACAATGAGCTTGTTACTTCTGAAGGTTATGGTTGCGTATTATACATTGTTCTATATTACATGCTACGAGCAATAGTTCATGCATTTATAACAATAATTCAAATCGAATTACACATTATGTGTTATGTAACGAGAGAAATGTTATATTCTCGCATTGAATGTTACCAAAATCGCCATAAAAATGAAAACCCTTGGACCTAGACATTGTTCAAATAAGGAGGTCAAACCACGGTCAATGTCGCCATATTTAGGATATACCGTCCAGTCCAACTAAACTCAAGAAGAATTAATGTCACGTCACATGTCACCAAGATAATGCTGGCCCATATCCGACGGCTACCATTCTCTCTACGGCTTTGAGCTGACGATCAGTGATGTGGATCAGCACCGTCCAAAGAAAAACAAAATGCTGTACCGCTAAAAGATGAGATCAAGCGCAGCGATGGGCCAACCGACACTGCCTTGTACGATATCCGATTGGCCAGAGGTTATGTGGGCCCACTACGCAAGACGCACGTGATTTGACCACCATAGGATCCAAAGGACTCGTAGTTGAAGACTGAGGCTGTGCTTACGTTGTACCATGCCAGCTTGATTTTAAACTGCCCTTGGGTGGCTGAGGTGGCTAGCCGCCCATGGAGGGCCCCACATCTGACATCGAAAAAAATCTCGCCCCTGATTTCTCCCCTATGCGAGTAAATCATGTGAATGTAGTTTGGCGTATCCATCCAACTGCAATCAGCATGCATAATTGTTTGCTAATTTTCTAAAAATATTGATAGTAATAAGAGATGGATAATCGTGGCTCATTATCAGTTGTTTTATTTATTTATTTAAAAAAAAATCAAGTTATTTGCTAATTTCATAATGGAAGTAAAGAATTTCAACCAGATTAAATTTCTAGTGTAGTCTTGAAGTGAATCAAACTCCACACCGACACAATGTTGAAAAAGCTATTATGACATGTTGTAGATAAAGAGGAAATTGAACTTATTCAAATTCTCGTTTCCATGTATTTACTAAATTATAGGCATTTGAATTATTCTAATTCATAAACATTTACTAATATGTGTAGAATCGAAAAAGTGCGTCTTAAAATACGTAATCAAATACTTGTAAAATCAAGAATTATGTCAATAAAGAGGCCAAGCTGATCCGTACACATGCATTCTTTTTCTTTTCTTGATTCATAACTCCCATTTGAAGCAAAAAAACAGATGAATCACACTCGACAATCATTCGCCATTGAAAACACTACTTACTCAGCCTTTTGAGTTTTGACTATTTAATTTTTCTTTAAAATTTGTAAAGTGGTCCGTTATGAGAAAAAGACTCCATGCAGTTGTACTAGTTGACATTATCTCAAATCAATTATATAAATAATTGTACAGAATTAACTTGAGATACTATTGGCGCACCCGGCCAACATGAAGGTTTTCCCTTTTTGGACCTTACCAGGCAATTCAACCAAAAGGCTGAACTAAAGTCTGAAGCCTGCTAATTTTGGCCCAGGCCCAGGTTAAGGTTGGTCAGAACCAGACAATAGTACACCTTTGATTTAACCTTAAAACGGCGACGTTCCATATGCCGGTGATTGTGCACTGACAGGCCAGCACCAGTCCCCAGAAAGTAATAATTCTTAACAAGGGCAAAACCGTAATCTCACAGTTCAACCCAAAGCGGGAAAAAGAGCCGTTGCTAACCCAACCTCAAAACTTTGGGCGCCAAAATCCATTTCACTCGGTTTGGGGCTGCCCGCGAAATCCCGGGCAGCTCTCTCTTTCAATACCCACACTGATTAGCCTTGATTTAACTTTTGCCAATACAGATACATGTATCTATATATATATATACATCTTTATTCCTCAGCACAAAGGCTCTTTCTTTCTAATTAATTTTCTCTCTCTAGAAACTTTTGATTTCAATCAAACCGTCCAATTTCCCTCCTTTTTCTCTCTCTCCAGCCGCCTTAAAAATCTTTAGCTTCCTCAAAGAAGAAGAAGCAAAGACCCTTTTCTCTCACTCTTTCTTCCAATCTTTCTCCCTCCGATTCTCTCAGCTGGTTCTGTTGGTTTGTTCCGATTCCCAGATCAAAACCCATCTTTTTTTTCCTTGATTTGTTCTGATTCTCGCATCAAAATCCCACCTTTTTTGCTCTGTTCTTGCTCTGTTTTGGCTGGATTTCCGCGAGGAAAACAGCTTCAGAAACTGAGACATGGGTTTTTCGAAGAAGTCCCAGGTCGCGGAAGGAGGCATGGAATCCGAAGGGAAGAAGTGGGTAATCGCCGGAATCTCAGTCCGGACTTGCTTGAAGCCAGTGAACACGAAACCGGCGAGGGGGAAAGAGAGCGACGACGGAGAAGAAGAGGAGGCGTATTCGACAACCCCAACAACGAAAGAAACAAGAATACCAGAGATTTTTTCGTGCCCGCCGGCGCCGAGGAAGAGCCGGCCTCCTTCCAGATGCAACTTCAATGGCGTGAAGGAGTTTTTTACTCCGCCGGATTTGGAAACGGTGTTCAAGCTCCATGTTGAGAAAGCAAACTGAGTTAGGCTGCCAAGAGCAAAGAATTAGAGCAGAGATTAGGAGTTTTTGTTGTGGTTTTACTTTTATTTATTTGTCTTAGTGAATAGTAGGTCGTTGGTCTGTTTCTCTAAATCCTGACGTCGCTCAGCAGAGCAAAAGCGCTTGTGTTGTACAAAGATGAAATTTTTTATGTAATGGTTATTTTCCAGTTTAGTTTTTAGGTCAAGTTTTTATTCCCAGAGAGAAGCTGAGTGCATAACTTCAGATATTTTGACAAGTTTTAATTTATAATTTTTTTGTTCTAGTTCATAACTTCATATATTATTATGATTCGTTAATTCATTTGGTACGTCAAACTATACTGATTAATTTCGGTTGAAAACTGCAGTATTGGTAATAACGCGTACTCTGATTACTATGGATTATCATAAAACTCATTAATGTTGAATATTTAAAGGGACGTATTATTAGCATTTAAAAAATCTTATTTCGCACTTCAAATTTTCTATAATTAGAAAAAATATATACTTGTAAGGAATGTAGAATGAGATTTTTAAAGTGCTAATAATAACAGTTTCTTATTTGAAAAGTGAGATTATATTCACACACTCAAATTACTTCCTCCACACTCTTTTAATTTTTTAATATTTTTCTATCAAGTGTTAAAAGATTAAAAAAGTGTGAGAGAAGTAATTTGGAATGTGTGAATATAATTTCTTATTTGAAAAACCTAAAATGCGAAAATTTAAAAAATGGATCACAAACAGAAATGCTACCGTAGTTTTTGAGATTGCTAAACATGGGACCTGGCAGCCTGCAACAACCAGAAGTGAGCTCTCTTACTGGTTTACATGGATGCTGAATTAGTGAAGCTGAAATAAACGGCTGCCAGAGTGCCTCTCTCTCTCTACCCCCAGAAACAAATGAATGATTGGCATTTGAGCAGAGATATTTTGAGCTAAACTGAGAGATGGCTGGGAAGCTAGCTAAGCCTGTGCCTCCAATACCTTCCTCTTTTTAGTGCACAAACACACATGTACTGTATGCGTTGAGGGTCATAATTCCTACCATACACTTGTATGTCTAGCTGATTGAGTAGCTATATCAGTGTACGATGTCTGTTCTTTATAAAAATGACTGATTATCAATAATACATCGATACGTTTTGCTATTAACATATTGTATGCTAAACATTGTTGATATATACGGTAGGACAATAATAAACAATGAACTTCTTGTCGAAAGAAAAATTGGCTGAAAACCCTAATGACCCAAAGCATGTAAAAGTAAATCTTTTTCATGGCTGAGATGCTGCAGCTGCTGCACGGATGCTTTGATTTTCAACTTCAAGTGCCTTTTTAATTCCATGCTCTGCTTTTAATCTGCCAATCAGATGTCCCCACCTCACCTGGAAACCCTAGCTCCATGTAAGGCTTCTTTCACTGTTAAAAGACAAAGCACAATACAATATAAGGTGATAGATTAGAATCCTATGTGGGGCTGGAAGGCCATGTTTGGTAGAGCTTCAAGTTAAACGTTTTCGGCACTTGATGACAAAGACAAGTTGTCGATTTGGTGTACTCTTTTTGGATAAGGTTAGGGCATGTTTATCTTGCACCCAAACAACCCATTTTTTATGGAGTAGGGAGGATATGCTTTGCATGATCAAGGGATTTGTTTAAAAAGGCGATTAAGCAAGATTAAACAAAGGGTTCTAGGGATTAGAATGCTTTAGGTTTTTTGTTGGCCTTTAAAGAAAGTGTACAACAAGTTTTAGTTAAAAATAAGGAATTGAGATCCTTTGGAATATCTGTGTCTGGAGTTTAAGGATTAGGAGATCAAAGCTGTTGAAGAAAGAGATAGATTCAAATCCTTATTTTGTGTGAGGTAGACCAGTGAAATAGACTAATGAGTGCCGCAATATTTAAAATAAGTGGTCTGAATCTTCTAGTCTTGGACTTCGGCAGTAGAAATCCGGGGAGGATCTCTATTCAAAATTAAGGTCCAATTTTTGTTTTGATTGGCGACATTTTTCGGATTGGATAGACATCTTAGTGGTGTGGTTAGACTTGGATGTCACATGAAATTGATTGTTTATTAGGGTTTTTTTCTAATGAGAAGTCAGATGGTTAATTTTGACTTTCTGCTTTTCTTTTTTCTTTTTTGGTTTGTATTGTTTATTGGATATTACAAAGATGCAATACTTTGATTCACTGTTCTAAAAGTCTCCGCCTAGGCGCTAGGCGGCTGGTCATTGTTCCGATTAATGCCTAAACGTTTGAAAATTAAGAAATGATATCTAGATCTGTTGAGGCGCCCATCTAGCATGCTCAAACCCTCCTAAGTTGCGACTCACTTAGACATAAAATAAATAACTTTCATTTTACATTTTATTTTTTACAATAAATTACTAGGAACTTGTTGTATACTTAAATGAACACACATTATATGCTTATGTGTGTGTGTGTATATATATATCATTCTACTTTATAGTTTATGAAATTATATATATTTTAAATATAAACAGACACTTATATACACGAAATATATTATATTTACTAAAATCAGCCTAGTCCGCCTAGGCGCTAGGCCCCAGTATGCCGCTCGACTAGTGCCTAGCGCTTAGTGTCTTTTAGAACTTTGCATTGATTGCATGCAATTCTCAAGAATATTTCTATATGGATTTTGGAGTAGTTAGAATTTGTAACACCAATATTGAAACCACCATTTTGTATGGAAGTGGACTCGCTCTCTTTCATTTTGTCTTTGAAAATTTAATGTTAAACCTTGATTGTTTGCAAATTTGAGCATAATTAAGTTAACTTAAATAGTATGCTCTCACAAATCTGTACACACATTCAAATCCCCCTTTTATAATTTATATAAGATTAGAATATCGCTTTGTCCCAAACAAAAAAACCTTCATTAGTGTCTAGAGGATGCATGTGCCACTCCTTAAAAAAGTACTTCCCATCCCTAGAACATATTCCCTTTCTCCCTTCCTCGCTCATCAGTTCGAAGTGAAAGACGGGATGTACCCCCGTTACAGCGAGTTTTTATAGGATTATGATTCTCTCCCCTCCTTTTTCCATCATCTCCTCTCACATTCTCTTATTTTATCTTTCTCTTTCTCCGGTTATAAAAAATTAATATAAGATGTTGACGTGGTTTAACCGTGACCGTTCAAATAGGAGGGGAGGGGAGAGAAGGGAAGGGAAAAAAAGAGGAAAGAGAATCCTACTCCGTTTTTCTACGCTTCTTCAAATTCACAACCTGCTTGTAAATTGAAATCGACAGTCGTTGTCTTTTCCTTTGGTATTTTTCCACAGCATAGCACCAAGGCAAACTATCATTTTCAACTGGGGCAATTTGCAGATCTCCGAGAGATAAAACTGTTCACAAAATTGGAATATAGACGTGATGAATTGGACTTGTGCTTGTCCTCATGGAACAACTCTAGTCTCTAGCCATGTCCTTACCCGGGTGGCTACCTAAAATCCTCGATTTCTTGTCTGCGAGGATCGAAATATAAATCGTCTCCTTGCAAGAAGACAACATGAAAGTTGCTTCTCAGTCTCCACAGAATTTTAGTTCAACTAATTAAAGTGATTGACCCTTTTTAATTGTCACAAATATCTTAATTAGGGTTTGAAACATCATTCAAATTCCACTTTCAAGTCTTCCCAGCCAGACTAAACTATTTATTTCTTCTCGTTTTGGTCAAATTAGTGATGGTTTGTCTCCTGATCAACGATATAATTACCTTCTTGTTGTTGATTTAAGAGAGTTTCTTAGTCCCTATAACATCGTTTGGTGGTATTTTTAGTTCAATTACTGATAGAGAACTGCTACTGATATTCCAAAAAAATCTCATTTCGCACTCCTCATAAGTATATTTTTCTTTTTAAATAAAGAAGTTTGAGGTGCAAAATGAGAATTTTGGAATGCTGATAACAATTCTCTTACTGTTATACTAGTCTTCGTATTTCAAGACTTCGTCTAGCATACATGATCGAACATGAATGGGATAAGACACTATTTTTAAGGTTCGGGAAGGAAGAAAAAAATAAACATTGTGATTAACTTAACGGTAGGAGAAGGATTACTCAAGAAAAAAAAAGTATCCATTCCAATCCTCTCAAAAAATGGGAGAATTAGAAGAAAGAAGTTTTCTACGCATTCAATCCTTTTTAATCTTATAGAAACGAAGAATCGTTCTCATTTACCTTCATTGTGCCTTGAAAAACTAAAGTTATTCCTTCCTATGCGATCCTTTATACCAAACGAGCTCCACAATAGTTTACGAGCAGTAGAGAATAATTGTTCCATGAACCATGCTTCCAAGGTAGTCAAAAGTTGGTTTGAGCTCCTTAAAATTTGATTAGTAAAGAGCACATGTGTTAATCAAATTCTTTAATTATATAGTACAAGCATGTATGCATTACTGAAACACGGAACTGGATCCTCTCTGGATCCAAAATGATCTGAGCCAACTGAGCAATGCATCCGGACCATTTAAATTTGATCCAACGGTTACAATTATTATAACTTAGAGGGGCCCTCTGTTTGTAGCCGTTGGATCAAATTTCAATGGTCCGGATGCATTGCTTAGTTGGCGCAGATCCCTTGGATCTGAAGAGGATCCAGTTCCCTAAAATGGAACCCACCATTTATATAGGGACATGTGGTGTACCACTTCGTGTGACGAGAACACTGAAAAATCTCTCTCCTGAAACACAAGATCACATAGATCTTCGAAAGGCTAAACAAATACATTACCCATGTGGGCTTCAACCAAAATACCAAAATATAATGCATGGTAGTTAGTGAAACATAGCACTAAGCATCATAAATTATAATTAATCATAATTAATTATTCAGTCTACCATATGTATATAGTAATGTTTTTTTTTTGTCGAGCGTTAAATTTTCATTGAATCAAGGACGAATATCAATGTTTTCTCAGCAATAATATTACGCAGAATTTTCGAAAAAAAGTAAACCTTATTTGTGATTGCCCCATTCTATTTACCAACGAAGCCATCGAGTGAGCTGCCTTGTTGCAAGCTCGAGGCACATAAGAAAACTCAACGGACTCCGCTTCTGTCGCTAGCTTTTGAATGTCATAAATAATGCCATCAATCATGATATCTGAATAGTTTCTCTCTTAAGCATAGTAATCTGAATAGTTTTCTCTCTTAAGCATGGTAATCAAATTACTTGAATCGGGTTTTATGATCACCTTTTTATAATTTCTGTCGTTAGGGAGGGCAACGAGGTTAGGGAGTAGGAGATAGGGTTAGG